ATACATAGCGTTCATATTTCCTTTTATAATAATAATGTAGCTCGGAGACAAAAGTTAATTCTTTTTGTATGCTGGTCAATTTATCGGTAGGTACAAGGGTATTTTTTATTTATTCATCCGAAAAATTTATATTCATAAAATTTTTCGAACGCAGCAATTTTTGACGTAATAATTTTTGAAACACAATAATGTTTCAACTGTAAGGCCACAAATTCGCAACGGTGCCGGTGGTGCGGTCTGCGAGGCGTTCAAGGTACATTGTGTTTTGTGTTGGATGTAATAATTAACACGAGACACACATGTACGCACAAACCTTGAACGCCCACTGAACGCACTATCGTTCCGAATTCGCGGCCTAATTCTCTATGCAGTGCAATGACATCCGACACATAATTGATATGTGAAATTGTAAACATTATGCTTTACAATGAAATTGTAAACATTGGATTTGTTATGCGACGTAATACGTATCTTATTTATCTATTCTAATGAAACGAAAACATATTGCGATATTACTGCACAGTAATATCTCAACATGTTTTCGTTTACAGGATTGTTTGAATACTGTACATTTTTTTAATCCAAGCTTCGGAACAATACAAGTTTTACAGAAATAGGAGAACAAAATTATTACAAAGAAACACTTCGAATGTTAACCTTGTATCTAAACATTTAAGATAAACATTTCACTGATTGATTAAGAACAGTTTATTTATTTGTTTAGGACAACTTACAACCAAATGGTCAAAACAATAACTATGGTGTATAAATATCGAGTTATTCTGTTGTTTCATTTACAAATTGCTATGGTATGCGTTTATATGTATACATAGGAGTATGAATAAAAGTAATTGACTACTTTTGTAACAGTAGAGCTCCTTGTGAAAGAGTTCGTCCAGGGAAGTACTGCCATCTTACCTATTTCTGCTGCCAAGCAGTAATTTGAGCATTGCTGCGTTCGGTTTAAGGGGTTACCGCCCAGTTACACGAGTTTATACGACACGAAAGTTTTAGCGCAGCCGCCGCGCGGCGACCGCCCAGTTACAACGCTTTCACGTACATTAATGGCGAATCTGATTTTACTGGGCAAAAACATTTAAATGCCTCTGAATTATACAACCGCGCGGTCGCCGCATAGACCAAAGACAAGTCAGGCCGGCCCGCGCGCCCGGGATGCTCATTTAAGTTAAAACGTAAAGGCTAAATAAATAGAGTGTACTTTGCTATGACAGTTACATACACGCGGTCGCTGTGCGGCGGCAACGTGGTCGCCGCACGGTGGGTGCGCGGTAGCCGCGCGGCGTGGGCGCGATGAAATTCGTGTCGAACAAATACAATAAATAAAAGTTCTGGTAAAATTACAGGCACATGGGACATGTCAACATAATTCATAATATTGTGTAACATTCTGAAAGTGATAAAACATAATATTATGTATGTTTTTAATAACAGTAGTGCTGTATTATATGAAATCACGTTAATGAATAATCATTTAAACTATTTATTCACCGCCCAAAAAAATAAAATAAACATAGCAAATATAATAACGTAATTCAACAATGCAAACATTTAGAATTTCAAGCCCGTTAGCGTTTTTGTAGCAGTAGCGCTCCTTGTGAAGTTCATTCAGGGAAGTACTGCCACCTTATTTCTGTCGCCAACAGTAATGTGAGATTTAGTGTTTCGGTTTTGAAGGGTAAGAGTGCTGGTGAAATTATAGGGACTTGTCACCTTATATCTCAGGGTAACGGGAGCAGTGGCAGTGTCCCTCAGATCTTGTGATTTAAAGCTCTGAGTGGCACTGCAAATGTTAAGGACAGGCATGTCGCTTACCACCAAGCGCACGACTTGTTCGCAGGCACCGATACTTAGGATTATATAAAAAAAACTTACAAATTAACTGCTTAAGCTTAATGTTTCAGGTATTTATTTGTTTAGGTACTCTACGTATCAATTAGTTACAATTTTGGATTACACAAGTTCACGAATACATTTAATGGATAAAAAAAATTTTTACGCCAGGTTGTTGTAGGTTAGTTTCGAACGCACGTTTACGGCGCCGGAGATGTTCGAAAAGCAGATTGTTGCGTTTGTATCGATTCAAAAGCGCGTTCGAAGCGCGTTTGCATCGAGTCAAACATCGCGTTTCAAGAATGAGGAAAGGGGCAGGTGAAGGGCGCGCGCTCACGCCACCGCGCTATATTATTACGGCACCGTAAACGCGCGTCATCTGCGCGTATACGCGCATCATCCGTGCGTATACGCGCCGCAAACATCGCGTTGCGAGCAATAAACTTATTCATTACTTATATATTATACTCCACTGGAGTTTACACTTAGAATTTCATGTAGTTGCTTAATTTAAAAAATTAACTGAAATTAATAAATAAAACTAAAATTAAATCTATCTTTTATCAAAATGCGCGATACACACGCGCGTTTACAGCGCATCTACGGCACGTATGAATTTGTGAACGTGTGCATAGATTTACTGGCTACGACTGAATCTCGTTTCAATCGTGTTAACGCGCATCCTCTGCGTGTCGTCTGTGCGTATAAAATATGCCGTGTGCATAGGCTCTTACAGTCGCGAGGAGGAAGGTGGGGCGGTGTGGCCTGCTTCGTCGTGAGGGGAGGGGGGAGGACGTAGCTCCTCCTAGGCGCTGGGGGGGTTCCGGTGAGCAAAGCCGATCCCTTCCCTCCAGAGCACCCGAGAAGGCCATCGTGGGGTTTTATCCGGTAGAAAGCATAATAGGAGGATTTCCCACGCAAAAAAAGAGTATAGTTAACAGCTATGATGTTCTGATACGAACATGTATACTATAATATTTTTAAGAAAATATACAATCAATTTACTGCTGGTTTTTGTTTGGATTTTTCAGCTTAGAATAAGAATTTTCAGATTAAAAAGTAAAATGTCCACACCTCGCAATTCCGTAGACTCTCACTTATTGCGCGGAATAATATTTTGCATATACAATTATGCCTACAAATACAGGATTATCAACTAACCAGAAAAAAAATAAGCCGCGACGTGGACACGCTGACACAACGACGATTTGGCAGTGTTTTTTATATGAATTTGAATGACGAATAGTAAAAGACATACCGAAGAATTTTGTAACACTAATATATCAATAAATTGTAATAAAACTCGATTTCCAACTAAATTTTGTTGCCCGGGAGCTTGCCCACTTCTGGTGCCGTGTAATAGAGATTTTATTTTGTTATTAAAAAATCCGGCCTTTCTTGCAAATATCAGCTTTTTGTCCGGAGTATTCAAATTTCGGAATGGTAACCCTACTTGGAAAGCGTAACAATACTTGTAAAGGGCCCGAAACTTTGCTTTGTTTGAAAAACAAATATACGTGATGTAAATAAATGAAAAATAGTTTCATTTCATAAGTGTAGCAATCGCTAAAACCTAAGAATTCGTAACTATTAAAGCTTCTGCTATGAAACCCGCCTCATCGAAGACTTGCTCCAAAGCGTCGTGTGCTACTTTTGGGTTCAAGAAAACTGAGAATTTGACGACATGAAGAAAAAAGAAGACTTAAAAAAACAAAACACCAAGTAAAAAACCTATCTAAGTCTAGAAATAATTACTGGCCATCTTACCCATAGTCTTATGGTTATCACACCCGGACACCTCGGAAGAGATGGCCAATCGTAATTTTTTTTAAACAAATTTTAAGGTTGGTCTCAAGACAATTTGTTATTTTTTTCTGTTAAATAGTTAATTGTTCAAAGTTTAATAAGAAATAAAGATTTGCAATGTAATATGTAAAATTTTATTTGGACAGCGTTTGGAAAAAACTACGGCTACGGTTTTACCCTACTTGATTGTGCATAAAATTAGTATAAGGAGCACACAAAGTATTTACCTTTTGGCAAATGTTTAGCACTGAAAGATGAGAAATAAAACGCAAACAGTATTTACCAAGCAGGGCAAGTAATAATTATGCTGGTACAAGTACCTCCATTAAAGTCTTATAAATGGGCGTAGCTTCTCGGCTGAATTGACCATTGAGCAAATTCAAGGCAAAGTACATTGTTTTATTGTCAACATTAGTGCACGTCTCCTTGTACTAGATATTGCTTGACTTATGATGGAAAAGGTGAATCCGTCGAGTCGTGTGAAGTTCCCAAACCGCATATTGGGCTCTTGTGTTGTTTATTACAAATCAGAACAAAGGGACAAAGTAAAACAAACGGGAATAATTGAGCAAGTTAAAATACATTGGAAGCGCCAAGTTCGAAAATATTTTTCAAATATTTGTTTTGTCACGTGTAATAAAGTCAACAATCCTTAATGAACTATTAAAAAATTGTTCCCCAGGGCACGCTTATACGTAGCCGCTCTAATCGATTATGACCTCGTTTGATTATTCAATAACCGATATCGTTAAGGCAAACGACCTATTCTTACTTCACGGAATGATTTTTATCGCTAACAATTTGACTTATATGGTGGCAACAGTCGTTCGGATTATAATCCTTCATCAACGTTGAATGACAACCGCATAAGACCTGCCTATCGGACTATTAAAAAAATGTGTATAACTGTCACCCAATTAGATGAGTCTGAACATCTATTAGACAACCCTCGTGGTCGAACCGGTTTTTATGGTGTTACCATTTCTGAGAACCTGGGTAAGAAGTGGGGGGGGGGGGGGGTCAATGTATTTGGACAATGTACTTGTATTGTATTAGATTAAGTTATATTGAAATAAATTTATCTTATCTAAATTTATCAGAATGTAAAAAAACTAACTTTTCTATATTGTCCCGGGTCTGGGTGTTTGTGGTACTATCTTTGTTTCCGATTTCCATAACACAAGTGCTTTAATTACCTAATTTAGGAACAGAGCTACGTATGTGATGTTATTTAATATTCGAAAATATTTATTTATTTACAAAACCTTAAAGCCACGCTTAACTGTGGAACACATTGATGCAGTATATTTTTCACCGAGTTAAACTTTAACAGTGTCACTTACCATAGCAAATCCAGACAGCAAGGCCGAGGTTTTGCTGGAGGCCTTCAGTTTGGCGCGACTTAACTGTAGCTTCCTCCATGACAGATAAGCTGGAGTATGGAGGCCGTCTCCAGACTGCATCGGGGTCTCTGCAGACATCAGGCACTTGTGCTGCGATATAATGACAAATGTATTAAGGATATTAAAAAAGAAGTATCCGCGTGGAAAAGAGATAGGTTATACGCTTACGATTTCGAGCTTCACTGCAAGTAAGCTTGCACAAACCATTTACGCGTTTTTATACGCGCCTTACACGTGGATAGCGCGAGTGATAATTTTTTTCTTGCGCAAGTTTACACGCTGTAAAATTTGATCGTGGAGACGGACCCTTATAACTCAAAAAGCTATAATAGAAATAAATTAATAGGGAATTAATTATAATAATTCCTAAATACCCAGTCAGGCTTTATATACAATGCGTCTTGTGCTTTTATTTAAATGTGTTAAAATAAATTACGCGAAAAAAGTAGTTAAAAACACTGACAGACTTATAAACCAAACAATTAATATTGAAACTAAATGGAAAAAAAATGATAAACAATAGACATGAGAAAATGCATACAAACAAAAGACGCAATCATTGCCACTTTTTAAACGAATTTTAGTAATTTGGAAATTAAGTGATTTCTTAAAATGTGCAAGTTAACTTAATTAACTAACTAAATATACTAGTCCTTTGATTTATTAACGGTGCAATTATATACAAAAGCACTAAAATTATAATTTATTAGTAATTATTGCAAAAGCAGCTGGTTTTCCGCACACCGTCGTCTTAGAGTGAATGCTTCGTATGTGGATTCTACGTAATTTTTCAGGATGAAGATAAAAATATGGCGTAAAATATAGTCAATAACATATTACTATAATAATATAACATATATCCTATATTACTTTAAAAATATATTTAAGCAAGTGGTTTATAAGTTTCAATTCAACAAAAATCAGGCAACACAAACTATGTTAAATGAATATAAGTGGTATTCACTCTAAAGCGACGATAGAAGACCTTGTTAATAAGGACAAAGACATAGATCGCAGAAACTTCAGCGATAAGTGATAACATTAATAATAAAAAGACGGTTGAATGAATTTATTCATTTTTTGTGTAAAGTAGACACACGCTTGGCCGCAATCTCACCTAAGCGATATTAAGCGACGCATATAGTTTTTTGAATTATTATTTATTTCTTACTATTTATTGCATATAAAGTTGAATGAAATGTATGTAAACAGAATTTTAGGTAGAAGACTAACCTAGTAGTGACGCTTTTGAAGCTGTAAGTGTTTTTTTTTGTGTAATATAAAGTGACAGGACGAACAAGTCGTGTGCCTGGTGATAAGCTACACGACTGTCCATAACAGCTGCAGTGCCACTCAGAGCTTTAGCAATCGCTAAGATCTGAGGGGCACTGCCACTGCGCCCGTCACCCTGAGACATATGTTGACAAGTCCCATGTGCCTGTAATTTCACCCTTACCCTTCAAAACTGGAATACAGTAATGCTGACATTATTGCTTGGCAGCAAAATTAGGTAATTTGGCACTATTTTCCTAGACGAATTCTTTCACAATGAGCTTTACCGCTAGTAGTGTTATGAAATATAAAAAGGTTAGGAGACCAAATCAACTTTAAAGTAAATATGTAATACAAAAGATATTTCAATGCAATGCAAAAATGCCTTAATTGACACTGTAACTTAATAATGGAGATTCATTATATATGACGATATTCATTATTTTTTATGACGGTTTTGTTGCATCTAGCAAAAGGAACCTGCGCAGGAACATGTTCTAATACAATTATTAATACAAAGATCGAACACTCAGAAAAAACACTCAGAAAAAATTCCTTCGATCCGGTCGGATACGAACCGATGTCTTCTTGCATACCGTGCCAGACGCTATACCAACTAAGCCACGGAACGAACCAACGGACCTCACGAATTTTTGTATGTGCCTGCGTCGTGTCCTCTGTACTTGGTCTTTCAACGACTTTTAGTCGTAGCGCCATCTATGAGAAATCTATGACAGATTTATCACCCAGTTAGTACCTTTACAGCTACCAGTCCTGGCGAGAGATGTCGCTATTCACTGTATTAATTAAATTTTTATTGAATTGATATTCAATTATATTTTGTGTAGGTGTTGAATTTTTAGCACAATATTTAATAGATCAATATCAATGACAGTGCAATGTGTATAATTTAATTATGTTATTTATATTTAATTTTTATTGAATTGATATTTAATTATTTTTATGTGAAATCACTCCATTAGTTTATTATAATTATTAATACAAAGATTGAACACTCAGAAAAAATCCTTTGATCTGGCCGGATTCGAACCGACGTCTTCTAGCATACCGTGCCAGACGCTATACCAACTAAGCCACGGAACGAACCAGCGGACCTCACGAATTTTTCTGTGCTTGGGTTGTACCTTTGTATTTGGTTTTTCAATGACTTTTTTGTCTTATGTTATTTACATTTATGTAGTGAGTGTTATTTATATCTCTATGTAGATGAGGGCAAACAATTTAAGTACTATAAGAAGATATTATAAAGCAGAAAAATACAGATTCATTCAGGTCATCTACATGTTTCAATATCAATTTTGTTGTCATAACCAGCGATCGGAATTGAGGGAGTTAATTTAGCTAAACTAAAGAAAAATGTGGACATTCCCTTTTACAAATCCCGGGACTTCTTCAAATTGATTATATTTCAATATTCCTATTATTTATTGAAATTTGAGTACACTCACGACAAATTATTGATTCCTATTAAGTAATTTGCTACAAAATATTGTCTCAAAAAATAATATTGTCGTTGTGTTTCTATAGGTACTTATTTAAATATACTTTATTGATGAAGAAATGAGAATGCCTATACTAAGAAAACATTTATAGTTTAGGTAGATTAACACCTTCAATTCCGATCACTGGTCATAAACACACATTCTTCAAATTTTATAATGTTATGACATAATTTATACTTGATCTTATAACCAAGGGTCTCTGATTGCATATTTACAAACAGTCAGTTACACAGTACAGTCAGTAGCACATCAAACTAAACACTTTTGTTTGAATATCGCCTCCAGGGCAACAGAACAAGATCCGTCAATCAAAAACAGTCGCATTTAAATCATTGCTGTGTAATAATACTTAAAAGAATAAGCATATTTTGGTGTGTAAACTCAATATTAGATAATTTTTTACTAGATTTAAAAAAAGGAAAAGCATATTTTCTTAACAATTTAAAATGTTCTTCAATACCCTGTGATATACAAAAATGAGTAATGTCAATTAAAACATATAAAGTAAGTGTGTTCTATTTACATGTTAGTTTCATATAAACAAATGTAGACAAGCAAAGGCATAAGCAGAAAGACACTAATATTTCTAATATTTGCATTCCTCTTTTTCATTCTACATTCAAAATTATAGACAGCCAATAAGACAGCGTATTTAAGCCCATCCCCAATTCTATTAGAGTTTAACTCACTGTTTTTTTCTAGAAAGGAACAGTTGTATTGTACCTCCAACTTCAGTGTACCACAAAACCAAATAAACTCTTCGCAAATCTCTCAATGCCACTGAATAAAATAAAAAAAAACAACATTTTAAATAAAGAGTTCAATGATACTGACTAGTGCTGGGAATAATTACAGGCACGTTAGTATTTCATGAAATAATAATTAAAATAATGCAAGAACTTGGTCAAAATAAAAAGCTAAAAATAAGTTTACTAATAATTTCTCAGTTTTGAGAACTTATTAAAAAAGAAAACCAAACACTTAGCACATTAAAACATGCATGCTAATAAAAATTATAACAATGTTACCTACCGCATAGCACAATTTAAGTAGCATCACATGGTGCTGTGTTTTTCAGTTTCTAATAAATTGGTGTTTTAACAAAACAATGCAATGGCAAATAATTACACAAACAGATTGAAAATTATTTACTAAGTTTAAACAATGCAAAAGGGCCTAATATTAGTACAGTAACAAGAAAGCAATAAAGACAATAAACATTTAAGAACCTTGTTAGTACAACACTGACTAAACACAACTATACAACTGATGCTCTATCGCGATACTGCACTATTTGCTTACTCTTTCAAATTGGTTAAAAAAATACTTGCACGGGGTGCAGTTTGCGTTAGAATTAAGAATAAGAAGGCGTACCTTGTTAAATTTCGGACACCAGTTATTAGAAGGACCCGAACGACCGCTCTGATGTACACTGTTGTAATTATTCCCAGCAGTACTGGCCGACCAAACCGACATACCTAAAAAAATTGCACGACTAGTCCTTCGACTTGAAGTGACGAGGTCACTCGCGTAATCTTACACAACTACTCCATGGACCAATGGTCGTGTCGCAAAGAACGACAAATCGTAAATTTCCTGGGTATGTAATTCCGATCGCAATTGATCACAACAACGATCTAATGCATTTATTTTTGTCACAATGCTAACATTTTCCGCAAATATGTTAAGTCAAGTGCGTTTGTGAAGAAACAAAATAACTTAAACGCACAGAGAGAAGAGATACTAAAATTTACGATTTATTTTTTTCTTTTTTACACAGTTTTATACGAAATAGCAAAAAAATGCAACTGTCACTGATGATAAGCAAGTCCCAAGTGTCAAATGAGTTACGATAAAAACTCACTGAAAACAAATACACTGCGAGTTTGTTTGTCTTTGTTGTTCTTTCGTAGTTTAGATATCGTTGCCCTGCTGTCACGTTGTGCTGACGTTTAAAATGGAACGCACTGAGTTTGTTTTTGTGTCCGGATATTTCGTTAAATAAAATCATGGTTTCACGACGACAAAATAATATGATCGTGATAGAAAAATATTATTTTTATTTTTCAGGTTTGTCCAAAAGTATTTTAACAAGATTTATGCTAGCTAAAAAAAAGTAGTTGTTAACTATATTAAGACGTGGAAAGGAGTCATAACGTTTAAGTGTTGCAAATTTTAAACTTAGCGTTGTGGCGTTTTGTTTTGTTTGTGGAATATCCGAATTCCCTTAATTTGTCAGAACGACAGAGATGGCGCGGTGAGCGTCTCATTTTTGTAACGGTACTTCGGCCGTGCGGGAGTGTCCATGAAAATTGGGCGAGCAAGAACGATGATAAGCGAGTGACAAGAGAACTATTTCGTTGATTAGTGGATAATGTAGGTCGGAGTATAGTGGTTTGTTTTGGTTAATAATTGAATTGTGTTTTTATGAACCTGCTCGAGGACTGGATGGTGGAGAGCGCGCTGTGAGGTTGTTGGATGCTGGGTGGTAAACAACTGTTTGATTGAGTCAAGTGGCTTGGTTTGAGCATAGCGATGGCTGAAGCAGCAGGTGCCGCGAGCGCCAACCCCAATGCCGAAATCGTGCGAGGCCAGGTGTTCGAGGTGGGCCCGCGTTACGCCAATCTGCAGTACATCGGCGAAGGAGCCTATGGGATGGTTGTGTAAGTACCTGCATGTATATTTGTCAACCCGAAACATCCTTTACATCCGGTTGATAAGTGCTAAACTTATTTTCCCGCGCGACAAATTGGATCAGTATAATTTGAGAATCAAACTAGAAACTCACCGTAGTAAATTTGTCTATGTAATAATAATGTAATTAAATTGAACGTTGCATAAGGAAAAATTGAGGAAAAATGCTACAATTGATAACAACGACAAGTAGTTGTCATACTAATTATTTGTTTTTAGTCACCACAACTTATTTTGTTTTGTGAGGTTATAATCTGTGGTAAAAGGATTTTACATTAATACAACAACAACATACAAACTTGTAACAAATGACAGTGTTCACATGGGTTCTTACAATTTTTCTTACACTATAATTATATGTCCATAGTATTATATTGTTTTCAAGACACAATTGCTCTGTTAGATTAATTATTTGATTTTAAAGTCTTGACATTATAAAGGTACACGGGTAATAAACTTCATCATTTTTTCGATCATGTATCTGTACTGTAATTATAAATTTACCAGACGACTACACCGATTGATCATAAACTAGGGAATTCCCTATATTACGATTATTAGAGTAATATAATTCACTGTCAAAGCACTGAGTAAAGTTACATTCAATATTATTTATCTTATCTGATGTACTGCTTTTATTTGTTCTCCTGAAGTATGATATCATATTACTATTGAATATTACCATGTTTGTACATTGGTGTATCAGTCCTATCACAATTTAAGGTGGCACAGAAACATTAATAAAATAATGTGTCATTTTACTGAGAAAAGATTAACAATGACATAGAAAGAAAAGGAAAATGAATGTTATCTTTCAAAATTGTCGAGGCCATGGATAATTTTATTGTAATGGCACTGTATTATTGCTTCCTTTTGATTGGACAGCATATGAACAAGTTTCTTTAATAAAATATATATGTAATTTGTAGCTATTTTCATGTAAAATAAATTTAAAATTTTGTCTTTGGAGACGTCACAGGTACTTAGTGATATAAGGAGCCAGGAGCATGATATAATTCCTACTATTAAGTTTTTAAATATGATGCTGTTTAACACAAATTAATTCACACTTAGTTGAATTTGGTTATTTACTTTTGAGTAATAACTTAAATAACATTGGCTATGTGTGGTCATTGCAGGATATCACTATTATCGGTGTACATAAAGGAAATGTTATCTTCACTATCTAAATATACATATTATTCAGCATTAATTTATTGGCATACAAATATAATTTTATGTTTTATCATTTGATTTTATTTAATATTTAGAATTATGCAATTAAATTTTCTTGAGTATCATTACAATAGAGAGATACAGTAGAGTTGCATGTGAAAGAGTTTGGTCCAGGGAAGTACTGTCATCTTATCTATTTCTGGCAGTAATGTGAGTGTTGTTGCATTCCGGTTTTGAAGGATAAGGGTGCTGGTAAAATTTTAGGCACTGGAACTTGTCAACTTATGTCTCCAGGTGACGGACGCAGTGCCCCTCAGAGCTTTGCGATTTAAAGCTGAGTGGCACGGCAAATGTTATCGACAGATGTGTCGCTTACTACTAAACGCACTTGACTTGACTTGTTCCCGTCACTTGTAGGGCTAGCACGACAGGGCGCGTCTTGCGCGAGAGCGACGTAGAAGCGCGAGATGTTGCTGTTCTCCATGCGAGAATAGTAGTATCTCGTGCTTTATAGCACTTTCGCCCAACAATTGTCGTGTTAGACTACAAGTGTCATAAAAAAATCCATCTATAATAACTAGTGATTATCGAAACTGTTTATATCTGAATATGCGTATTATTTATTGAAATATGTGGCGACAAATTATTTTTTCTTATTAAGTTTTTGATACAAATTATTGTCTCAAAAATGATGCTATAGTTTTGTTTTATAGATACTTACGTATTTAAATACTTTAGTCATTTACAAATGAAACGACGTTTTGTGATGGAATGTTTAAAAAATAAATAGCAAAAAAGAAATTTTATACGCATTGATGCCGAAATGGGTATGTCCATACTAAGAAAACGTTCATAACTTTGGGTAAATTTAAAACCTTCAACTCCGATCGCTGATAATAACACTATTATGTTACTTTAAAACAGAGTTTAAGCACTTAAAGTAATGTTGCGATAAGCTTTCAAGTCTATATTACAATCACTTTTTGACCTAATGGTCCGTGCTGATCGAATGCACTGCACATTGCTGTATTTAGTCACGTTTTTAATTCTCACAATTCGCCGTAATTTATACGAAAAAAAGGACTAAAATATTAATATAAAATTGAACGAAGAAAATAAGGACCTACTGTAATGGATATTACTTAATAATTATAATAATTTCTACCAGGAACGCGTTTATTTTAAGGCGAGGACGTTATTGGAAACGTATTTGACCATTCCTTTTTCTACCCTTAAAAGCCAACTTGCGCCGATGAATAATTGGTTAGACTGCAATTTACGCTGCTCAATTCAGATGCAAAAAGGCAGAATGCCTGCTAATGAACACCAATATCGAACGTTTTTCTAATTACCCGCGCTTTGTTACCGAATTATTCACTTCACAATGGTTCCGTTTTCAGTCAGAATTTGGACGTGTTTTGACAGTTTTAATTAAAGCCATTTAGATTGTAATTTTAGGAAGAATAACACCTTTATATCTCGTTTTTAAGTGGAACGTAAATAGAGCTGATGGGCCCATGTAATAAAAAACTGGTCAGATGGTTTCTGACGCCAAATAAGCATTATAAACAATGACACATTTGAGTACGTTACTGGTGATTGATAAAAATATTTCTTTTTAAGATACCAAGTGACAGGACGAACAAGTCGTGCGCCTGTTGTTAAGCGATACACCTGTCCGTAACAGTTGCAGAGCTTTAAATCGCAAAGATCTCAGACACATCGCCACAGCGCCCATCACACTCGGACGTACAATAATTGACAAGTCACATGTGCCTATAATTTCACCAGCACCCTTACCCTTCAAACTACACTACTGCTTGGCGCCAGAAATAAATAAAGTGGCAGTAACTTCCCTGGACGGTCTCTTTCACATAGAGCTCTACTGCTATTAAAAAATATGTAAATAATAAAATATATGGGGTAAAGGGATTTTGAGCCATGATTAAATTGTTAAGGAGTCGTGTAGCCGATATACTATAAAAAATAATGTTACCAGTTAAATTACGTATGTACCTATTATTTCGTACGCGTCAATTTTCTTTTTGAAAACGATAAGCATTATGGACATTCATCGTTTGAACACAAGAGTCAAAATTGCGACTTCCTTTGTATTCCACCTGTACAAAAAACAAACGATCAATCCAATGCTGGTACATATTTCAAATCCAGAAATAATCCTTGTCAATTACCTGTCTACGGGTTAAGTAAAGACATTTTTGTTCAACCGCAGGAGATTGCAGAATATTCGCAAAGTCTATATGACTTATATTGAAGGCGGAAATAGAAACAAATGAGGTTGGCTACGTCGCGCCTAGATTCCGGTCACGTAGCAGACGCCTCTTTAATAATCGTCGTCAAGTAACAAATGCTATCCCTTGTGACGTTGTAAGACGACGATTGTGATGTTGTTAATATGGTCCTGGTTACTATGCTAACTTATTTAAGGGATTGTTACTGTCTTGCATTTGAAACTTGACCTGTCGCTTTACTTAAATAAAGGAGAGCTCGACGTACGGTACAGCCACGATATGAATACTAAGCGTTTCGTAATATTGAAAAGGTTAATTTTGAACTGCAAATTGTTCCAAAGATCTTGCAACAAAATTCAAAATGGAAGCATAATTTGACATTCAATAAGCTAAACTTCCTTCTCACCAGCCAATGAACCAACTTATAATTCAAAACAACTTTTCAGTGATAAAATCATAATTCATAAATTAAGAAACTTCGAGCCATAATGTTACCTGGAAACTCGATAATCCAAGTCGAAATTGGGAAGTTGGAAACCTCACAGATTGCCAATAAAATTCTCTTGTGACTGCAGCGAAATATTCATAAAATTATGGAACTGACCGCTGAACTTCGTCAGAATTGCTAACTGGGTTTTTACATTTGCTGTTTTTTTTTTGCCATAAAAGCTTTATAATGAAACTCACTCTTAGTTGGATCAGTTAGTTGACTTAGATTTAAACGCAACAAATGTATTTTGTCTACAAGTTTTTGAACCATTTTTTGATCCAAAGGTCCAGTCTGTTTCGCGGTTGTTATTCATTTTACAGCATCAATTAATGTTGATATTTTTTTTAAATTAACGTAAACACTCATAGCCTCCAACTAGGGAGACCCCTGTGTAGCAGATGCCATGGACATAGACAACCATAAATGACACCCAAACTCACGAGAGAAATAAATGTAGGATAAACAAATATTTCTCCCAGAATCGGGAATCTAACCCGGAACATCTGCGTGGTAGACCAGCATGTTTACCGTTCGGCCACGCTGGCAGTTAGTTAATTTCTTTGAATGATTTTTCAGCTACCTGTTATTCTATGTACCATTCTCGGTATACTTTTAGAGTATTGCTTTTCAAGTTATGTCTTTGAAAGCTCATGAATAAATCTGAACTGGCCTCGTGATGAGTACCGTGCCTTTTGTCCGATGCAAAATCAATAGGAGTCGTCTCCCGCAGTCTATGTCAGTTATCGTTTTATGATGAATAACGGCTTTATTTCATACACCGACCCTCGTCTTCCTAATGTTTTGATTCAATTTATCTTGTTTGAAGTGAACATTTGACCTCGCTTATTGAAAGCACCCGAAAATAATTCAACGGAAAGGAGGGAGGTTACGCGTTCGATTTTACCTGTGCGCTATTAACATAGCAAGCATTTATAAAAATAATTGGCATGGCCCCCTAATATTCAAATGCCACAAATTATCTGTTTATTACTTTCGACTATTTTCCTACATTAAAGTGATATGAACGAAAAGATGTTTGTACAGTCCCATA